AAAAAAAANAAAAAAAAAAAAAAACGAAAAAGGATAAAAAGCTTATCAGAATTAACAAACCTAAAAAGTAATTCAAGAATGAATGTATCAAAAAGAAGATAGCATAAATATTCAACAAGAAGGAAACTGATAGGAATAGAATTTCAGATATGGCGAAAAAGGCCGTAGCTAATTTCGACATAATTATTTGTTAAGAAATTTTCAATTTTTATTTTTTACTTTTTTTCTTTTTTTTGCCACTATAATATGAGAAACCGGAAAGAAGAATAGAAGGGAGGAAAACAGGAAAATGATGGAGAAAAAAAAGAAAAAAACAAAGAATAGCAGGAAAATGGTGGAGAAAAAAAGAAGAAAAAAGAAAAAAAAACAAAGAATAGTTGGATAATTTATGTATTTTTGAAAACGTTTAATAAAGATTTGAATGAGAAAATCAGTTTAAAAAACATCATTCATTCATTTTCCCAAAAAAACAATTTGTCAAGTAAATTCAGCTTAAACTCAATTAAATTTCATCCATAAGTCGGATCAATGTAAAGTGTAACAGTTTATGATAAAGCTTTAAACCATCATTTGATAAGTTATATGGCACACTGATAAGGTATAATTCCTTCAGAGATTTCATGCATATTTATGTTTCATCATGATATGGTGATATCTTTCATTGTTAATATATAAGAACGGAATGTTCAATAACCGGTAAATGATATTTAAATTAATAAGCAACACTTAAAATTTACTTTTGATACCAATAAAAATAAGCTTTAGTAGCTGGATTTTTTCCAAAAGAAATCAACTTTCTTCGAGAAGTTGATTCTTTTTGGTCAAGAATCTCGTCCAGATTCAAATGCTTTTATTAGGTTTAATTAAACTTCTGAATATGCATCCTATAATTGCAAATTGGTAACTAAAACACTATGTTTAGGGTTAAAGGTTAATGTAACCTGAAGAAATAAAATAGGCTAATGTGCTCAGACGAAAATGGAATCAGTTGATATAGCCTGAAGAAATGGAACAACTATTTAAGACCAAAATGATGGAAAGATGAATAGATACAAGCTTTTTTTCTTTTTCTAATAAACAAAAAAAATTTCCTATCTATTTTGGTCAAAATGTTTTTTTTCCTTTCTTTTTTTTTGCAAAAAAATTAAATTCAATGAAAAAAATTGGTTCACTATTTCGCATTTCTTGGTTAATTCAAATGATGTAGGATGAAAATAGATGTTTTATGAATTATTATAAAAATGGAAAGAAAAAATTTGCCAAAATTTTTCGTTCATTTCACTTCCGAACCATTATAATTCAATTTAAGCCAGCTTGCAAAAAAAAAAAACCAACAACTTCATTAGAAATCCCATATTAACTAACTTTTTGAGGGAAAAATTCAGAAGGATTTGTCTGATGTGAGACATTCGGAAGTAATTCACTGTCACAAAAGTTTCGAATTCAATAAATTGGGTACTTTTACATATATTTAACAAAAAAAAAAAAGAAAGCAAAGCTCCGAAAAATTTTTGGCAATGTTTTGTTTCTGCAGTGAACAATTTCTAGCAATGCATTTTGGAGAAAAAAAAAAAAAAAAGAAATGTAAATATTTGATTTAGAAAGGAAGTTAAAAATGTTGAAGAAAAATATAGGATCGGATATGATTGTATTGTCACAATGACAAATATGCCTGAAATTTCGTATCATGAAATTTTTAATTAAATCAAAAAAGAAATTGAAAACATTTTAATACAAGAGATAATCATACGGAAATTAATAAAAGATCATTGTAACCATGAGAGGTCGGAAGTTTGTCACGACAAGTAGAGAATTATTTTCAATAATTTGAAAGGAAACGAAAGGCTCCTTTCAATTATCAATATAAAAATTTAATTTCGAAAATAGCAATGTTACTCTCATATTGGTTTGATCCTAAATGGTGAGAGACATAAATTAAACTTTTGCCAAAAATGCTTTTTGAGCTTTAAAATAGGATGAATGTTGAAGTGAGGCTTAATTTCCATTTTTTTTTTCTTCGTCCATTTTTAATGAATATAATACCATCATCACAAATATAGTAAAAAAAAAATTCGCAAAAAAAAGTGTCACAAATGAATGAATTGATGAAGGAATCGGAAATGATATAATGAAATGTAATCCAATGAATTGATAGATATGCAAATGAGTTAAAATTATAATTTCCAAAATTAGAAAAAAAAACCTTTCATTTAAGAAATCAAAACAAATCTTTGCAATTTCACTAAATTTACCTAAGAATAATCTCTTTTTAAAACTTGCTGAAAATAGAAATGAGTTGTACAGTAAGCCAGAAGCATATTACATTCATTATCATCCAATCAAACTTATCACAACTCTCTCCCTCTCTCTCTCTCTGTTCTTTTTTAAAAGTCATTTTCTGAAAACAGCACATTCCATGGGATAATAATTTGCTACTAAATGGCTGTTTATTATCTTTTTTGATATTTATTAATCTGAATTAATTATCGAAATATAAGTAAAATAGAAAAAAATTACAAGTATTCATGATATCATCTGGTATCTTCAAAAAAAAAACCAATAAGTTGTTTAATAAATGAATTTCTCTACAGCCTATACTCCATTCGAATGCATTTGAAAAAAAAAAAAAAAAATGTGAAATATACCAACTGCACATATTTGTTTACAAATTCTAAATGTTTATTTCAAAAAATTACTTCCAACAAATTCAAAACTATGTATATAAAAAATTAACAATGACTGTTCCATATGTAATGGAACATTTGCGCACAAAGAATGAAAAATGACTTCCTGAAAGTTATCATTGAAAAATAAACAGAGGCAATTAATCGATGCACGTTGCATATTTTATGTTATAAAATTTAAATTTAATTTATTATGGTGTTAAAAAATTTGAATTTATTAAAAAAAAACTGAAAAAAAATGCATCTAAATGTAATTACTGTTTAAATGATTAACTAATCTTTGAAGAAAAGAAAAAGAAATTATTCTCAACAATGAGAGAAGCAACAATGATATAGGTGAAAAAATATTTAGTTTGAAAATTTGAACTTAAATTTCAAACAATTTTTCAATATAATTTCGAAACTATTGCAGTTATTCAATTAAAATGGATTATACAAACAAAATTTATATATTATTTGAATGGTAGAAGAATAATGAAAAAAAAATAATTAAATTTTGATGAAAGAATAAATACTTCACAATGCTTTCTTTTCAACAAATCACTTATCTTTTCTCGAATAAAAAAACTTAGAAAATGAGTGATTATTTCGTAAATTGTTGTATCCAAAATGTTTCAGTTATTATTATAAAAATATAAATTATGAAGAGAAGCAATGTATTTGTTGGACTTATTGGCCATAAATTTAAAAGTTGAAACTAAAATTTGAAAAAAAATTGATATTCATTGATATATAACAAAAAGAAAAAAAATTTAGAATTTGACACGTAACAAAAAAATTTGTTGAAATTGAAAATCAAAGATTAAAATTGAAAAGTTAAAGTTTCGACTGAAATTACGAGTAATATAATTTTGGGTCTAATTATTGCAAGTTTAAATATTCCGTTAAAATGAAAGAACTACTAATTAATTAATATTATAACCTCATGAGCTTTTATTGTCTGTAATAAAGTTTTTGTGAGAAGAATTTTTGAAAATATTTCAATGATAGTATAATGTATCACTTTGGAAATTTTTAAATATTACTGGAAAAATATCGATTAAATTTTTAAGCTTTTGTTCATTTCCTATTTTTCACTGATTATTTCACGTCTACAACATAATTAATTAACTTATTAGCAATTGATAAAACATTTCTGCGTTTGGCATTCTTTTATTATATTTGTAAATATTACAACATTTACAAATTCGAATTAAATTTTAAATTCGATTTATAAAATTGTCCAAATGTTTAAAATATAACTCATATTACCGTACCATTATTATTACCGTCATATTATCGTACCTTTTGAAATGTTTATTACCGGGATTATTTTTGACCTTACCCGACGTGATCATATCATTATTGATTGCACTTTTTCAATTTTTAAATTATAAGAAAACCTGAAACAACATTTACCATATTCTAAACAATGCTACAAATGATATCACAAATGCACCAAGCACAATACAATACATATACGACGACAACACATTCAGGGAGATGGCTAATGATCATTTATAATACCTTGATGATGAGATTGGTTTATTGGGGAAAGAAGGTAATTATAATTAACTTCATTAGGATAAAGCATGTCAACTGGGGGGAATTTTCGAGATCATTAGCGCCTCAGTAGTGGAAAATATCAGCAAATTAATGTTTCAGAAAAGCTTGCAGCATTTGTAATTTTTGATGAGAAACGATCAAATAGTAAAAAAAAAGAAAAAAACAAAACACTAACAGCGCGCATCGTTTGTCAAGGAACCGATGCTCAGCGTTTTCGTCCCGTATTGTAATTTCCGGCTTTTGATTGTGATAATAGTAATGATAACGATGATGGTGATAATAGTGACAATAATAATGATAATTATAGTGCAGCAGAAGCCGCAGGCCGCCGCGTTGCAGCCTTAAGCTGCAGTGGCGATGCAACAGAGACGACGTCCTTAAAATTAATGCAGTGCAATTGGTACTATAGCAGCAGTAACCAATTCCGGAAGTACCTGTTTCCTTTTTCTAAATCCGATCTTGAAATCGGAAAAAAATCGAATTTTCAGAGGATAATGATGAAACGTTATATTATCCGTTAATATATTTTCTGAATCGATAATATTCTGATGATAGCAATGATTGTAATAATAGTGATTTGAATAGGACCAACTATCTTTCAGTAAAAGCTGAAAAACTATCGATGTTTTTAGGCGATAGTAAAACCAGCAAAATAACATTAGAAAAATTAGAGAATAATCAATATCAAAGAAAAATGAAATTTTTAACAATGAAATATTAGCATATTGGAAGAAATGAGGAAGAATATTTTAACGCATATGTAAACTTCACTTTTATCAAACGTACTCAATCCTGAAATTTACTCTTTTCATTTTTAACGGATCAAAAAAAAAAAAAAGCGCAAATAATGATTGGATGACGAAATATTTGTGTATGAGATAATCTTTCCCGGACAACAGCCTCCCAATATGTAAATTTAGCAAATTGGTAAGTCTTATATGTAAATTCAGCAAATTCATGGAAAGTTGTTTATGTAGAAGGATTTTACTAAAGGCGCATTCGTCGTAATCTTTTTTCCACCTTAATTGAGTCTTTTCTTTTCTTTTCTTTTCCCGCACATTATCAATTTATCATTGTTTTCTTTTCTCTGAAAACAAAAGATAAGAATACTCAATGAGGAAATATATTTCCCCTATGGAAATTCTTCTCCAAAGAACATTTTCCCGAGCTTATTTGTAATCAATGTGATAAAATTTCAACATTTTGATATGTAAAATCGATCAATAAAATGTATCCTTTAATATTACATTTCCATTTAAATTACTATAAAAAGTAAGTGAGTGAAAGAGAGAATATTTATGTAAATAATTTGACAAAAATGTTAGAATCGATTATTTCATTAATTAATTAACTGGTTTCCTTTAATACTTTAAAGTGCGTCTATTAAAGTTTTAACAGAATAATTAGAAATCATTCGTTGGAATGATAAAATTTCCCCATTTGAACTATTCCAATTTTATCAGTTCAAAACTTCTCATTCTATTCAAAATTATTACATTCCAATTCAAATATCATAAGTGAAAATACACAATCAATCTTCCTCACATTTTAAATTTTTGAAAATCAACCACTCAAATAGAGTGGTTAAATAATGAAAACTAATGGATATGATGAAAAAAAAAAAAAATGAAGTGTATAAGGTCAAGGAATTAAAACAAAAGAAATGAAGGGATGAAGTATATAAAGTCAGAGAATTTAAAAAAAAAAAAAAAAGGGAAAGAAGAAGATCGTTTTTTTAAATGAAACAATAAGATCAGAAGTTTCAGAAGCTTATAAAATACGATAAAAGGATTGATGAAATGAATGAAATAAAGATAATTTTGAGAATTATTGAAATGAATTGTTAAAATTATAAAATGTATTTTCGATGAATGGAATCAGCAAAAATTAATCAATGCCAACAGCTACTCCGCAAGACTCATTTGATTCCGACATTAGCTAAAGTTCCTTCCTCAATTACTTCTCATCTTTTCACTTCTCACACAAACTTAATGTGAATTAAGCGATGTAAACATAATGGATAATAAGTAAGTATATAGATAAATATGAAGTACGCATGAAAGTTTGTCATTTGAAAGTAACACAGGGAATAAAATATGGATGAGATTTGGATAATGAAATGAAAATGAAATTTGAATTAAGTTAAAAACTATCAAAACTATTTGATGTAATTTATGTGAAACAAAAATTAGTTATTTTTTGATATATCATAGAAGAAGGATTTAATGAAAATAAAAGTGACATCTTTATTTCTATAATACATTACTGGATAACAACTTATATAATGATGATAACAATGATATCTTAAGTTTACTTCTGGAGAAATTTAAGCCAATTCTACTTGATTTCTCAAGGTTTTGATTTTATGTCCGATTGGAGGCTTTTCGGTTTCGCTGCTTTTTTTTGTACATGTCCCTTCGGGACATCAACGTTTTCTGATTGTTACCTGATACGATGTCTAATGATGATCTCTATACGGGAAAGTACTGTAATTTACATAATTGGACCACGCCATTTAATTAATCTAATTACTTAGTCTAACAATGGCTAAAACAAATTTTAAACGTAAAAGGGATCTGTGACCAATCTTTTGTTGAATTTTCAACATGAAGTTCATTTGTTCATTGTTTAGACTAAATTTTCCAGGAGTCTAAACTGATAATACTTCAATTATTCGTCGATAATTTATCAACAATTGTCACAATCCTTGTTCTTATCATAAAATCGTAATGAAACTCACAGACTAACGTTGATAAAAGAAATAACTTGGCGGCGAGATCTCCATTGCGCAGAATTTTAAGATTACTTATAAGCTTCGTGTTACTAACTGGACCGATCGAAAGAATAGGTCAGATAAATAAGCCAGATCATTTCAATTGCGAACTCAAGGTAGTCGCTGGACACTGTCCACAACAGTGACTTCTGCTCAGGCTTTTTTCTAGGGAGTATGGAATGAAAGTGGGATCGCTTTAAACAATTCACGAAGAATTGTCGTTTATTAAATGGCTTGAGAGAATTTCTGAGGTTAAAAAATGAACTTCGATGTAATACAACAAGAAAAGAAACCAATATTTGTAAGCCAAAATATTTGTACATCTTCACCGAAAAGGAAGTGGAAATTGAAGAAAGTGCGGGGGATAAATGAAGGTGAGATATAGCTAATTAAGGGAAATGAACATGGATTAAGTGAGAA